CCGGCGGGCGTCCGTTATCCCTGTTTCATTATTTTTTGAAGATGGATCACTTTGGGGATTAAATAATTTTTTTTTGTTTAGGTGTATGATTGGTTGGCTCCATTCCGATAGCCGAATTTGATCTGTTGTCACCCTTCTAGGGCAGGGGCAAACAGGGTTTGCAACTCTCCATAAAAAGGGCTCATAAAAAAAACAAAAAACTATTATTTTGTATGTATTTTTATTTTTGTTTTAGTTTGAATTTTTTTTTCCAGATTGCGTAACATTTGGAGAAAATATTGCATTACGACTCCGTAAGTAGAGTTATGTGACATAAAAAAAATATGTCCCGCAACACAAGAGAGTTGTTATTGTGTGTTATTTAAGTTTTATTGATGTGTTATTATGTCATTATAATTTTGAGAATATTTTCAGAACACATTAATACCTAAATAACAAACAATAACACCTGAATAATACGGAATAACACAGGAATATTCCTCAGTATTACCGGGCCGAATTTATTTTTTATGTCACCTTCACGTTACTTGATTTCATTAGACTTCACATATAGCTCTAAGTAATAGCTGATGCAATATTTTTTCCTTTTTTATTGGTTTACGTTTACATGCACATCTCTTAATTTCCATGAATTTACATCTCAAACACCAAACTTTTACTTCTACATTTATGCAGCACAAATCTTTGACATCTCATCAAAAATATCATAATTTGAAATTTTAAAATTTAAAATATGAATTTTCATGCATTTATAAGATGGCATGCATGTAAAAGTTGAAGTTTAGGTGTTAGTTATATAAATACATAGGAATTGAGAGCTATGTTTGTAAATCTTCCTTTAAATAATTAATAAAAGGTTATTTACATGCCTACCACTCAATTTTTTTTGTATTTACATATCAAATGCAGAAATTTTATTTATTTTCCTTTATATAATCTATTATTACATTAAAAATATCACATTTTAATATTAAAAAATGTGGAATATACATGCATATGTAAGTGATATTTATGTAAAATTTGAAGTTTAGGTGTAGCAATTTAAATAAATCGGAATTGAGTATGCAATTTATTTGCATCACTAGTAATATTTATACAAGAAAGGGATGAAAATAATAAAAAAAATTAATTTTAAATTATTATAATAGATGAATAATATAAATAATTTTATGTTGTTATTAATGATAAATGTTATTTTAAAAATTATTTTATTAATGAATCATATAATATTTATTAATAATATATGAATTATTCATTAACGGTGGATGATAATTTATCTGTTACTAAATCAAACGAATTTGGACCGTTGGATCAAATAATGTTCGAGTAACCAGAGATTCTCTCTCTAATTCTTTAAGTGTCAGTATGCACTAAATTTAAAGATCGATCATCAAGGGAAGGAATTGAGCCAAGGGAGAGAAACCATAGTTTTAAGAGTTTCAAAGAAGACCTTCAAGGTGTGTGATGCGTAATGAAGAAATTGTTATCATCCAACATCAATTTTGATGCGTGCCAAAAAATTCGTGGTGGTAGAGTTACAGATTATCGTCTTAGCGTTGCACGAGAATTCTGTACACACTCAGATGAAAAGGAAAAAAATAATGACTACTCAAAAAGTTTTTTTACATGGAAAGCCCGCAAAGAAAAAATCACGGGGCCTGACTCAGTTGCGAAAATCCAGTATTCATTGATAATTAAATAAATCTCTTATTCCACAGACGAGAAATAGTAACTATATTTTTTAGATTACGACATTGACTGACAGCGTCTGGTTGGTGGTGATCGATGACAGTTGGCAGAGGTCGACGACGATCGGTGATGGTTTTTTACGGTCGGCGATGGTAGACTGCGATCGACGGTGGTCGTCGACGGAGGTTGACGATGTTTGACGACGGAGGTCGGCAGTGTTCGATGACGATCGACGGTGATGTTGAACTACAACTTCTCCTCAAGGTCTCAGACTCTCTCTAGACTTCAGGCCCCCCTCATGAGATGGATGAAACTCTATTTATAGCTTTCTGGGTGCAATTAATTCAAAAATATGAATCATTTTGATCAGACGATCCGGAGAGCTTCCTTTGATCATACAACATTTACTGGACATTTGAGTGCCTTAATAATGTCAAAATTGAGTGATCTTGGGCTCGTTGGATTCTTCTTGTCGAGCCGCTCGATTTGAGTGTAAACTTGTCATATTCGACAATCTTTTGATCTTTCAAATGTGTCCGAAAATCATTCAAGTGTGGTTCAATGACTTGATCTGGGTTTGATTTGACTCTTATTTGGCTAGTTTTCATATCATTAAGTCCGTCTCATCAAGACAGTCAGTTTGACTATAAGTTTGCTGAAATCAAAGATCTGGAATAGTTTTTATCAAGATTTGAAAGTTTCATGCTTAAAATAGCGTCTCAAGATTCGTGTCATACCTCGAGTTTTGTGTTGGATGATAAAAATTTGTTGGTGGCGTATCAAATCTCAAGATATTTTTTAGAAACAAGTGTTTCATATTCAAATGTCATATCATCCAAAGTTTCAATTTCACCAAGTTTATAGTCAAATTCATTGTCTCTATAAGACAAATCCGTTGATACCAAAATTAGTTTTATTTGAGTCCACTCAAGCCCAGATTAAACCATTAAAACACTTTTTGAGATTTTGGAACATCAATTTGATGGTCAAATAAGCTCCGAAATTCAAATATTTATAGTCAAATTAAACATCTTGATGAGAGTAATCTAACAAGTCTATGCTTTTTTAATTCTAAAGTCATTAATGCCCTTAATTTATTAAAAAAAGCTTTATTATTATTTTATTTAATATCTACATGAGGCATATCACCGAATTGATCAAATTCAAAAAACTTTTATAAATATAAAATTAAATATTATTCAATTACTCATGAATATTAATGTGATGCGATTACAAAAATGACATGACCAAATAAATAACTATCCACGAGCAATTTAAAGTTCATAGACTATAAATATTTGAAAATCACCCAAATGTTGATTAGTTAATTTTAGAATTATGAAGATAATTATGCTTAATTAATATACTTTATTAGATATATTTAATATATCTAAAGATAACCAGCATATTTAATTGATATATATATATATATAAAAACTGACAACACTAAATAACTCATGAAATTTGTGAGAGCTTATCTCGATCTGAGCCTACTGATAAGTCCCTCGTAAAGACTTTAATGGCTATCTTGACCACAATTAATTTTAATCGTTCTCGTATAATGCATAAGCATATTACATAAACATTAATTATTATAGCAAGATTAAAAATAATGGGAATCAAAATGAGTGAAATATTACGAGAAAAGACGGTATAATTGATAACTTATTGTGCGTCGCAAATATCGTGTTAATCCCATAAATTAGCGATAGATGATTAAACTTTTTTATTCCCGACGGTATTACTACTCCTAAACCTGTTGTTTTTAATAGAAAAAGTTCTGAAGTTTTATTTTGACGTCCCAACGTTGTAAATTATTAGTTACATTCTAAAATAAAACCAACGGTTACTTGCCGCTACTAAACAGTCGAAACAAATCCATTACACCGCAAAAAATCTCCAATTCTTCCTATCTTCTGCGGCTTCTTCCCTCTCCCTGTTTCGCTCTAAATCCCTCTGTCCTCCCGCAGCTTCCTCCTCTCCCAGTCCTCCCGACTCTTCGCTTGTGGAGACCACTGAAACCGGCAATCTGAGCTAGGGGATCAGGGCTTACAGAGACCACCAAATCCCTCATCCATTCGTTTCACCCCTAATGAAACCATTGATTAAGGTATTGTTCACTCTATTCTTCCTCTTCGCTCGTTTCTCCGCCACTACTCAAACCATCCTAATACTTTTTTCAATACAGTCTCCATTTGAGCTAGCTAGGAAGAGAACTACAAGATCAAGGCATACAAAGATCACCATCTTTCTCAACCTTCTGCTCCGCTCCTTCCTGAAACCTGTCAGGAAAGTAAATTTACCCTAAACTCATATGGTATTCTTAAGGCTTTTCAAATCTATTGGAACTCCACTTGAGTTTCAATATGTCGATCTTGATCGACCCAACAAAAATTTGAGGATTTAAAACCAAGCATATGAGACTACAAGTAATCAAAAAATGATCTAATTTTTAGTTGGAGTAGGCCCCAACACTAGTCCTCTAGGCAAAGCAACTAGGAAATCCTAAGATCAGATCCTAAATTCTAGAGATAGACATATACAAATCTCATAAAAAAAAAAAAAAAGGTCAACAACTACTAACACAAATGCCTACTTGTCACAACTTTACTGAATTTGTATTTTAGCTACACATTTATTGTATACTTTATTATTCATATATTGTTTATCATGTAGCATTTAATATAACAATTGAGATCCCAAATTCAACCATAAATATAGGATCTTGGGGAGATTTTGAGGGGCACTCATTCCGAGCCTTACCAACCTCTCTAGGGATTATCTCCTTTTTTTTTTCCCCCTCTTATAGGTTAGATATTTAGACTATTTCCTTCTTATTTGGTGGATTGTTTTTATGTTATATTTTGTAGTTCTGAGATGTCTCATAGATTTTACTTCATCTATTTTTCCTTACTCTTTCTTGTCTAATTTTTCATATGTGCAAGTAAGATTCATACATAACATTATGAACAAATTCAGATTCAACACATTTAATTTAATTGCGGTCTATAATTTGATTCAATCGAAAAACTAAATTAAATTAAATCTTAAGAGAATAAATTGATGGGCTTCAAGTTTGTTAGAATAGTTTTATAATGGTTCATCAAAATTGTTCAACAATTAAAAATGCAACAAAATTAACAATAATACAACAATGAAATCCAAAAGAGAGATATATTATTAAATTTTAATACATATATATTAGCTCCAATTTTTCTAAATTAAAGCAATATAAAATTTTAATAATTGACAAATTATTTCAAATTGATTTTTTAGAAGATAACACTTTTATTAAATTAAATATTAGATGAAATTAGATTGATATGATTTCTCCCTTTTAAGTTATAAAAAAAAACATACATTTAATTTCCTCTGCAAGTAATCCATCTCTTTTAAATATAAATTATTTTATATTCTCATAAAAATGGTAAAAAAAAAGTAATAATATATTGGAATTTTAAATAAAATTCCTCGATAGCAGAATTC